GTGGTGGGCATCCCCGTCGAGCTCGCCGTCGGCGGCCTTGAGGACGCCGTCGACAAACTTCTAGAGAATTTTGTCCTGTAGCCTCGGGAAAAACTCGCCGTCGTCGGCGCCCTAGTTCAAATCTCCACATTTTGGTCCTTTTTGCTCCAAATTTGCTTCTTTTTGCATCTCTTTGCTCCAATGACCTTAATTCATCATTCCTGCAACAAAACATCAAAAATATTTTTTTTTAAAGTGCAATATCATTAAAAATAATATAGAATAGGTATGAAAATCTCAATATATTTTTCTCTGGTCAGCTTTGTCCCAGGAAGACAAATGAGATCCAACTTATGGTCTTTAACAAAGTTATTTCAATCATTAATCTTGATATAATTATTGTAACCACTAACATTCCGAACATCCATGTTTGGAAAGAAAAAACATGAGGAGTAGATTATTGGGGGAGGGAGGTTCCACCTCCTTTGGGCCTTCCTTTCTTAGGTATATAAGAGGAGGGAAGCCATTGAGAGGGGAGGGTTTAAGAGTAGTGAAGAGAGGTTAATTTCAAAACCCTGAGATGGGGATAGGAAAAGGGAGGGGGTGGTAAAGTGGTATGATATGCACGAATAGAAGAGGAAGGTAGTTATGCAAAAGGCGAATAATGAGGAAGGTGGAATATTAAGGTCTGAGGTGGAGGAGATTTGTTTTGAGGGATTAAGGTTGATAAGTCGATGACGGGGAGCTGGCGGAGTTTCTACTGTAACTCCTACCACGATTAAGCAGATAAATGAAAGGTGTTTTGTAGTTAAACTTTTTGGCACATGAGCTAGGGTCATTAACAAATGTGTTGTATGTCGTATAATGAGTTAACTTCCATTCATAAATTATGGGTTGTATAATTTCTTGCCCATTAATATTCAGAGTAACATAATTCAGGGGAGTAGAGAGGGTGTTGATTGTACGCTTACTTAAATAAAAGTCGAGTACCTTTGACAGTTAAGGGATCTACCACAAGAGGGATCACAATAGTGTTAGCAACTTTAGAAATGCCATTCCCTGCCCATCAAAATAGAGGAAAATTAGGTAGTTTAAACCATATTGGAATCTCAAAGAAATATTCCTTAATTGGTTAAAAGTGGGGTGTCCATTTTTTTTAAATGAAGGGTTTATTGTTGATGAACCAAGGACCACCCTCTAAAACTATATGCATATCTTCTAGATAAGTGAAATTGAATGGAAAAAAATCTGCTTTAAGAGATATAAGATCCACCATACCTTTGAGTTTCTAAATTTTGTTATTAGCTTGTAATAGATCCATAGTAAGGTCTCTTACCAAGAGCATGACCCACCACAACAAGGTTCCAGTGCTTAGATTTGTCCCAAACTTCCTACACCAAGCTTCTCTATTGTAGGTGGAATGAAAGAGAGTGTAAAGGGGGAGGAACTTGGTAGATGGGTGGAGAAAAGTCCTTCCAAAAGGGAAGCATCAAGAGTGGTGGCAGGTAGGGTTTTCGAGTGGCAACTGCAGGCTGCACTTTTTTTCATTATTTCAAAATATTTGCATATACGAAAAAAAATAATGAATAATATATGCAGCTCGCAAATATACGTAAATCGTAATCGTACAAAATGCACCAAACAGCACAACCTCCGGCCTCATGTTGGCGATTTTTATTTCATCAGGACATCGAACACAAATTTTGCGTCGGTAACCAATTAAAATAATCCAAATTAAAGAATAAGTCTCACTCAAAAAAAGAAATGTATATTTCAGTAATTTTAATTAGACACCACACATAAATTGACTTAGAATCTGTTTGGGGCAGCTGCAGCTTATAGAATAATCTGCTGATAAGCTGATTAAAAATAATCTGCTGATAAACTAGGTATGTTGGTTATTATAAATTTTTATTTTTTAAAAAAAGTTAAACCGCTGTTAGAAAGTTGTCACCGTATCTAGATAAATGCAGTGTGAAAACGCTGTTTTCAACGTTTTGAAAATCATAATCTGCTAAAATGAGATTTATCTAAACAGATCAAATACATTTTCAAAACGTCACGTCAAATAAACTGCCACGGGCATAAAAGCCCCGTGTCGGCAAGGGCTCGGCAAGCCTAAAAAAATCTGCCACTTAAAACACGGAAATTGAAATGCAATCACGAGCCACGGTACAGCACGTCGGGGCTAGACATGGTTTTGCTTTTAGATGGAGGACGTAATATTTTCAACTTTACCCTTGCTCCTCCCTCGCTATAAATATGGAGAAAATCTCAGATCCAATCGAATCGAGCAAGAGGAGAATAAGGGGGAAGAAGGAGAAAGCCAGCAAGCAATGGCGGGGATAATCCACAAGATCGAGGAGAAGCTCCACGGCGGCGATAAACACAAGGAGGAGGAGAAACACCACGCCGAAGCTCAGCATCACTCCGGCGACGCCCACCATAAAGAGGGGGAGAAGCACAAGGAGGGCATCGTGGAGAAGATCAAGGATAAGATCCATGGCGGTGAGAAGGAGGAGAAGATCCATAGCAGTGAGAAGAAGGAGAAGGTGAAGAAGGACAAAAAGAAGAAGAAGGAGAGCAAGCACGGCGAGCACCACGGCCATGAAAGCAGCAGCAGCAGCGATAGCGATTAGGTATCCCCAGGTATTCTCCCAGATCTACAATCTTTATCGTTTCTCTGAGTTTATGCTGCTTGTTCTGGTTTCATTTTGTTAATTATAGGTTTCTGTTCTGATTAGGTATTTCTTTTTGTGTCGATTTGCAAGAGATGAGAAGGATTGGGGCAGGAAATAGGGAGTAATGTATCTGCGATGTTTGTGTGTTTTTAGTACTCTGTTATGTGATGAAGTATTTGATGTTGTCTTTACTATGAGCTTTCTGAGGATCTATCCATCTATCTATCTATCTTCTACTGGAAAAAGTCTAATGATTTTGCATTGTAATTTCAAAATGTGTAGTGATGCATAGGCCAGCAGCTGTCCAATGAATCTCAACCAGATTGACACTAATTGGAGCGCAAGGCAATATATTATTATTATTATTATTATTATTATTATTATTTTTGAGATGACGATGATGAACAGGCGAGCTATTGATATTTTTTCTACATTATTTTTGAACAAATTAAAAAAATATTTTCTTGTTGATTTGACAACACGGTTTTGACACTATTGATATTTTTTCTACATTATTTTTGAACAAATCACGGTTTTGACGGTCGATAAAAATGCAGAGATTTGGTTGAAGGAGAAGTTTGAATCGGTTTTGCAAAGTAAATAGCGGTTCATTCAGTGTCTGTGATTTATTGGAGATTTAATTGGACTCCAAATCAAGCCTTTAAAAACAAAATTCAGTTTTTCATGGATAAACTTCAATTGTTAGTATTAATGCTAGAAATCAGATTCCACGGTTCTAAACGAGCTTGTTTAGAACAATCAGAATAAATGACAGCGAACAGAAAAGAATCATTATTAGCATGAACACGGACATGTAAAAGCTGATTATGATTGATAAGAATATTAATGATAACCTAATCCCTCAAAAACAACCATATCTTGTTATTAAGATTAGCCAAACTCTTAAAAGAGCCAAATCAGCGTATAATCTTCATATTATTCTTAACAGCAACCAACTGTTCTAAAATACCAAAAAACTATAAATTATGAGTCTTAAAGAAGCAATAGGTTTAGCTATGCCTCTGATGTTTCAGATAAGAGTATTAAACCTCATCGTTATTGGATCTACCTCTAGTGAGTCTAGAGAAAGAAACAATAACCTCATCTTCTTTACCCGACCGCAAATTATTGAGAGCCTCAGGATTAATATAACAAAGCTCTCTCAAACCTTTTAATTTTCTTTTTCTTGAAGATCTTTGAATTGACCAGTCCTCTTCTAGTTCCAACCTAGTCAAAACTAGATTGTCATCAACAATAGGTTCTTTAGCATAATCAATTAGCTTATTAGCATGAAACAATTCAGCATCAGTATGTAAACTAGTATGCTCAGAACCGACAATAATTTCAGTAATATCACCTTTTGTAGGAGAACCATATACAACATTAACCTCCTCTTCAGGGTCTTATTGTCATCAATAAGAATATTAGAAGGTAGTTTTTCAGAAGGAGAAGAAATAGTATCTATTTCAATAGAAGATTTATGCCCAACCTTATTATCACAACTGTTAATTCGAGCAATACCAAGAATTTATTTGCTCTTATGTACACTAGCCCTATTATTTTTAACAGGCTGCAATTCGGGATGAGCATTATAGCAAGATGTAATAGTTTGCCAAACATTCTACACTTGGAACAATAAGGTGGAACAAATTCCATTTCAACTGATTGCCAATAACCTGTTATTTCATTACCAATCCAAACTGAATCAGAGAAATGAGCTGTAACAACTCTTTCAACTAGGATTCTTGCCACAAAAGGTCTAGTACATAGAAGCGTTGCACTATCCATCTTTAATGGATGGCCAAATATTGAACCTAAAGAAAACAAAACTTGCGAGTTAAATAAATGGAGCTTGAGTCTAGAAAATCTAATCCAAATAGGAACTATAAGAGGTTCCTCAAAAGGATTAAAAGTCGGAGTCCATTTAAGAAATTTCATGTAGCATTTATTAATCATGAGTTTCCTGGCAAATAAAGATGCATAAAACACTTCATCTTGAAGCTTAATCATAAGATTACGACCATCAATTAAACCCAAACTCCATTTACCAACAAGTCTCAATTCAGAAAAAAAAACTTACGAATAACTTCCATTTGGGGATGAGAAAAGGCAATTTTACCCACTAACGTAAATTTCAGTGGCTCTGTAAGAAGATTAGTCTCATTTTCCTGAAAAATAAGAGCAGATCTACCTTTCTTTTTCGACGCCTTCTTAAGCAATCCATTTAGAGCATTCTCTTCAAGAAGACCATTGAAAGAACTAAGAAATTGAACATTAGGTAAATCCGAAACATTACTAGACACAACATCCCTATAGGAAGGCACATTTAATCGACCAATATAAGCCATTAAGGAACCCAGAAAGAGGAAATCCCAAAAATGCACAACCACTCCAAGCCAAACTAAACCACATAAGCCCTCACAGACGACACTAGAAAAGCTTCAAGAATTGCTCTACGAGACGCTCCAAGAAACTCCATCTGCCTTCTTTGACTTAAACTTTAAAAATTAAGAAGAGTTGCTTCAAGAAACTCCATATGAAAATTCAAAAATTTCACACTACTTTATATACATATTCATAAGGGAATGGTCGCGGGCTATTAGACGAGTACCGACTATCCCTCATGCGCTCGACGAGTACCGACCATCCCTCATGCGCTCAAGAATTCGAGTACCACACCCTACACTCGGGGGAATCAAACCCCAGATCAGAGGAGACTTACAACTGACAAGCAGATGCCCGACCAATTGATCTGAATTAGTGGCGCATATATATATATGAAAAAATATAAAAAATATATGAAAATACTTCAAAATGTCATGAATCTCATCTTAATTACAGAGAATCACTAAGAAAATTTTTTTCTAAAATTTTGAAATATAAAACTATATTTTTTAACATTTAAATATATTTTTCTCTATTTTTGATAAAATAATTATAAAAAATAAAAAAATCACAAAAATATGATTTTTTTTACTTTGAGTTTTTGAAGTCAGAGAGACTTATAAAAAATATAAAAATGAACTTTTGAAATAAAAATATATTTTCTATTTATTTATCCATTAAAATCAATTAAAAATTGTAAAAACTAAAATATAATTAAAAAATTCACGAAAATCATTTCAAGTGATCATCTAACCTAGGTAAACCTCCGATAATTTTCCTAAGGACATGGTATATCTTAGTTAGTGAAACTAATTATCATTGAACATTTCTATTTTTGAAATAAAATAATTATTAAAAATTAAATAAAAATAAAAATAAATTAAATTCTCCTTTGATATTTTAATTGATCCTTGAGTAGGGTAACAACAAAGTTTCAAAGTCATTTGAGTTAAATTTAAAGAATTATGTAGTTGAAAGCCTTAGGGGCAAGATGATAAATATGGAATTTTGAACTTTAATTAAAAATTTAGGTCAAACTAGAGGGTAAATGGATAACATTGATCATAATTAACTTCTGAAATGATTGAAACATAAAGGGTTAAAGGGTAGAAACCAATTCATGTTATTTTATATGAAAGAGTAAAAATGTAATTTTCTAAATTGTTGTGGTTTGTAAGTAAATTAATTTTGATGATCCTAATGTGAAGGGCTTGATCTAGGAAGATGGTAATCCATTAATTTGAGGCCCCAAATCAATGAAATCCATTAATTTGAGGCCCCAAATCAATGATTAAACGATAGTATAATTTTTTGATAAGAATTAAGTTCATCGCATGCAATATTTTTCAAAATTACAAATATACTCATAAAGACTTAAGAGCATATTAGTGAACTAGGCATGATCTAAAATTACTTAACAAGGTTTAGAAAATAAAATGCAGCCAATTACAATCTCTTTAAATAGTACAAGCTCAATTTCAATTGAAGAGGTGAGGATTCCTTAACAACTTAACTTGCCCTTAAGGGTGTCTACTCACATAATTTCTGAATGAAATATCAAATGAACGTTTAATCACCCTAATCATGAGATAATTAAACATTGAAGTTCACTGAGCATAAGTTAAAACACCACAATTAAACCCTAATTTAACTAGGGATGATTAATTCAATAAGATGATAAGTCCAAATGAATTTGAAATGATTTAAAGGGTTTAAAGGATGTTAGGGTCATGCCTCGAACACTTTTGCAATCCCTTGTATATTTTAAAGAACATTTGAATCTATTATGTTTTGTTGAAGAAAATCATCCTCAAAGTCTTTGGGACCCACTAAGATATGACTCAGAACCCGTTAATTCACACTTCCAATAAAATACCCTACACTACTTATTCTACATTTATAACTCAATGCTTAAGGATTTGAGACTTGGAGAAGGTATTTAAATCCTTGTGACCAATTAGAGATATTTTGCCACATATAGATCACCGGGCTTGTGTAAGTCGGAGGTCTATGTGGCGAGGGCGATGACGACATTGCTTATGTGTTCTAAGCGAGGGATACTGATACACTTTAAGACATTGTACTTTAATCAAAGATATTTGTGTATTTTTCTTGCAAGTATAATCAAATGGATGAAAAATAGTAAAATGAGTGAAAAATGATCAAATTTGGAGCAAAAATGAAGAAGGTACAAAAAAATGAACTGAGGCGCTTACGCGCCTGTTATACAAAGAGAGTCGCGCCTAAGTGTCAGGTACCTCGTGCTTAAGCGTCATAAGTAGTTATTTGATGATTCATTGAATTTGGACAAGTTTTTGAACAGGGGTTTGAAGTAACCCTTGGTAAAAATGTGAGAAATAGTTCATGGACACGAAAATTCATTCAATTGACATTTGAAAGGAGGTAACTTCTAGAATGAGACACATTTTGAAGAGACACCAAGACACCCCTTAGATTTTTATTAAAGAAGACTTGGATCATCAAAGGAAGAAGCTAGCCAACAGTCAATCATCCATCAATTCCAAGTAATTGCCGCCGCCGATGTCCATCGCCGTTGTCGTCGTCGGCCATTTTATTTTATTTTGAGTTTTAGTTTGTATTGTGAGTGAAGGAAGAGAATTCAAAGGAACTTGAAGAAATTTGATGGAGAGGATTTGAGGTAAGTTTTTATCTTTATTGCTTTATCTTTATTGGAGGTAAGTTTTTATCTTTATTGCTACATTTGGTTTTAATTTAGACTTCTTATTTGTGTGCATGATTTCTACTTTTAAACTAAAGTGTGGTTGTGTCTTTTTCATGGATTCTAAGTAGTTTTCTTTATGTTTTTCCTTAAAATGATAAGTTATTAAGTATTGAAAGGAAGTTT